GGGGATCTGGGACCTTCCACCCAGAGCTATGGCTCAGACACGGCAGAAATCCTGCGAGCGGCTGTGGACGTGTAGCAACACGAGAGAACGCTCAATGTCAACTATAATTATCGTGGAGCCACGGGACGATCCACCATTAGGGGTGGACGTGTCTGCTCACAGCATGTGGTCGTAATGCTTCTTCACCTACCTCTCTCCCTCTGATATCACGGTTTTCTGAACCGAGCTCAGGAGGAGGGACTGACAGCTCCTCTGTCCCAAGTGCATGAATGCATCATGGTCCCCAGGCCTACAACACTTGTTATCGGGGCGCTCGTGGAACCTGCCGTGGAGGGAGGACACTCTCCTCCAGGCGGGAGGAGCGATCAGGAGTTAATCAGAATAGGCCAGCACCTGTGGTCTGGCCGCTGTGCAGATCTTTTTGAGAGGATGGATCTCTCTCAAGATGTAGTGCGTACGATTCAGGATTCACGTGCTGCAACCACCACAACGCTGTTCACATCAAGTGGTCAGTTTTTCAGCGCTGCTGTACAGAGAAAGGTGTAGAGGCCATTTCATGTTCACTAGGTGGTGTGCCGTCCTTTCTGCAGCAGCTGATGGACAGAAATCTGGCGTTCAGCTCATGTAAAACGTTCACTGCGGCCATCTCTTCCTGTCAAGAAATTTTCGAGACAGAACAGCTTTAATCATCTGCTGATGAAACGTTTTGTAAAAGGTGTACAGAGAAGGCGTAGAGGCCACTTCATGTCCACTGGACGACATGCTGTCCTTTTCTGCAGCAGTTGATGGACAGAAATCTGGTGTCCAGCACGATTATCGTATGCTGCAGCCATGTTTTTCTTCTTATCTCAAAGTTGTCGGAGACGGAACAACCTTTAATCATCCTCTGATGGAGCATTTTGACTCAGATTGAAATAGCAGCTGTGGGCCCGTTTGTGACACGAGAAAACGCTCAGTGTCAATTATGGTTTTCTCTGAGCCCGCGAGACGAACCACCGCTGGGGGTGGATGCGTTTGCCCACAGCCCATGGCCCAAAATGCTTCTGTACACGTTTTTCCTCCACCTCCTCTGATTTTACGGTTCCTGAACCGAGTTCAGGAGGAGGGATTGACAGCTCTCCTGGTGGCCGCCGAATGCGTGAGCGCACCATGGTTCCCAGTCCTGCAACGCCTGCTGTCGGGACGCCCGTGGAAACTGCCATGGAGGAAGGATGCTCTCCTCGAGGCAGGAGGAGCGACCAGGAGTTACCCAGAAATAGGCCAGCACCTGTGGTCTGGCCGCTGAACGGATCCGCTTAGAGAGGATGGGTCTCCCACAGGATGTAGTGCGCACAATTCAGGTTTCACGTGCTGCATCTTCCACAGCGCTGTGCACATCAAAGCGGACAGCTTTTCAGCGCTGGTGTACAGAGAAGGGTGTAGAGGCCACCTCATGTCCATTAGGTGGCATGCTGTCCTTTCTGCAGCAGCTGATGGACAGAAATTTGGCGTCCAGCATGATTAAAACGTACGCTGCAGTCATCTCCTCCTGCCACGAAGGGTTCGGAGACAGAACAGGTTTTAATCATCCGCTGATGAAGCGTTTTCTAAAAGGTGTACAGAGACGCAGGCCTGTTCCACACCCACTTGTTCCACAGTGGGATTTAACACTGGTCCTGCAGGTCCTGATCAAAGCTCCATTTGAGTCTCTGGATCAGGTTCCACTTAAATTCTTGTCTCTTTAAACAGCCCTGCTGCTGGCTTTAACATCCGCTAAGAGAGTGAGTGATTTATCTGCCCTCTCTGTTGCGCCGTCATGTCTCAGAATTCAGGCTGACGGCAGCTCAGCTGATTTAAGACCAAACCCATCTTTTATGCCTTAAAACATCACAAGCTCTTTTAAATCAAGAGTGATATCGTTGGAGGGGTTTTTCTCTCTCCCTCCCCCCGTCCCCCCCCCCCCCCCAGAGATCAGAAGAAGTAGCTTCTTTTCATCTTCTCTGTCCGGTGGGGGCGTTGACGTGTTGCATAGCGTGCACAGCTGCAATGCGTCAACATTTGTTTGTGCTTTATAGAGATGCATCTGCAGGTCGCCCATTATCCACCCAGCGCTCGTCACTCTGGCTGTGTGAGGCCTTTTCTGAAGCCTGTGGAGCATCAGATTTAGAGCCTCCTGTCAACCTCAGAGCACACTCGACCAGGGGTATCGCATCTTCGACTGCCTTGCATAATGGTATGACAATGCAGGACATTCTGCACTGCGGCCGCGTGGTCAACACCCTGCTCATTTATTCACTTTTATCTAAGTGATGTGACGGCTCGTTCCATGACATATTCTGTCCTTAGTGTTTACAGAATAAATATTGTTGTTTCATGGAACTCCGTTTAACTCACATCTGTCTGCATGCATTACAGTGTGAGATGTTATCAATCATAAATTGTGATTGTTATTTTGGTTCTATTGTCACTAATCAGTTCACGACTATTGTTACCAATCAGTTCATTTGATTAATAATCAGCTCTCCTGTTACTATTAATCCGTTCATACTGTTCAGCCGTAAACCGGTTGGTTCATGGCTCTTTTCAGCATTTTTCCCTCCCCGTTGAATTTTCCGGGGCGTTCATGCATTCAGAACGCATAGTTACACAACATACGTCTGTGCATGGCACACATAATTACGCAATGCGTAATTACGCACATGGGGAGCTGAGTGACAAGACGTTTCTTGGGCAAGCTTCTGCTTCATACTGTGTTCGAATGGACCCAGTGAGGCGAGGACAACATCCGCTTCGCCCTTAACCCATCAGCGACAGCCTTAAAGAGCGAAGCTTATACGAAATAGAACGTTGGTTACGTACTGTAACCCCAGATTCTATGAGTATAAGCGTAGCCCTTTAAGCGTCGGGCCTCACTGGCTCCTAAATGGCTGAAGAAAAAAGCTATTTTTGGGAGCCGATTTCCCGCTCTTAACGTAATTTATACGGACCGGGTGGGGCCCACACAGCAGGTGGGTGTGGACTAAATTTTTCAGTGCAATGCTTTGCATATTGGGATAAACCCATCAGCGACAGCCTTAAAGGGCTATGCTTATACTCATAGAATCTGGGGTTACAGTACGTAACCAACGTTTCAAATGTTAGTTGATCACAAATCTCTGCTAGGATAAATTCTAAACCGGACTGTAGCTAAATAAACTAGACGTTGGTTACCTGTATGTGCTTAGCTTGGCTGTATTTTAAAACATACTGTGAGATAACTAATGTAATAAATTTAATTCAATAAATGAACAAATACGAAATAGATATTGTACTAAATGGTAACATTAGCTGAAATCTGTTAAAAAAAAATCTTAAGAGTAAATTTAACTAGTTTTATGGCAGAAATCTATCAATCTGATAAATATAAATGACAAGTTTTTCTTTATTTTGTACTGTTGACTACCTGTACTATAAATTTTAAAATATAACTCGTGAATATAACAAAGTAATCACATTTTGACATGATGAGGATTGCTTTGTCTGAAAATTGTAATTTATCAACTTCCGGGTCAATAATAATACTTGAACATTAAAAGTTCATGACTGGTAAAAATAAATAAAAATACAGGCAAACTTGACAAACAGATTTGCCAGAATGACTTTGTTTTTTTTTCATCAGTTCTTGAAATACATTCCTTGAAAAATGTTGCAAACCACTGAAACGCAAACAAAATAACAAGCGGTATGTCAATGTTCTCTGTCACTGAGGGACTTGAAGAGTGAATGTTTACAGTCTTTGAGATGAGTGTCAATGCTGGCTTTGGCCACCCCGATTTCTTTAATTTTGGGTAAATGGTGATCGGTTGATACGTACATGAGAAACTGATTTTACCAAAAAATAAATTGTTTTAACAATTGTCATTTATATTTCATTTATATTAATTTCATTTATCTTCATTTATATTTCAGAGAACTACCTCAAGGCCAAGTTTGTATTGTTTCTAGGATGTTGTTCGAGGGTATATTTTTCAACTAAATAATATTGGAAATTTGAAGGTGCATTGTGACCTTATAACACCTGACAGTGTCGCTTATAAAACTAAATTGGAATCGGCAGGTCAGACTTTTTAGAGACTGTGACCGTGATTGGCCAGAAGGAACATATATGCAGTGTTTCCCCTTCCATTATACAAGCGGGGTGCTCCACCCCATCAACAGAACTGAGCACCCCGACTACCAAACCGACTCACCCCCCCCCCCCCCCCCCCCCCCCGGCCCTGACATAGCACTAAGCTAGCAGCGTGCAATACAGGCGCTCTAGCTAAAAAGTTAAAGACGCCTCTTCTCTCATGCTGAATGCCCCCCACACCTGCCCTCGCTCAAAAACTGTTGGTACAAGCTGCGCTCAGACACGTCTCCACCCCCCCCCCCATCCCCCCCAACAAAAATCATGGATGAGATGAGCACCCCGCCATGGCAAGTTAACTAGGGGAAACACTGATATGGTAGTAGCAATCTTGGCTTTTGACGTGGCAGCCTAATTTTCAACAATGCTCTTTCTTACGCCTAGATGCAACCAAGCGCCAAAATGGAAAATGGGATGTTGCTTTATTTTCAAGTTATACAGCTTACAAGGTTTACACATATGCATATAAGGAGGCAGCCATCTTGGATTTAGACATGGCAACCTAATTTTCGATAGGGATGTTTCTTTCACCTAAATGAAGCCCTCTGCTATGCAAGGGGGACAATAATGTGATTTTCTAAAACAAGGAAAGTTATCAGAGAAGCCTCTAGGAATGCAATGCTGTGAGAAAAGTTGCACATTGTGTGTACATAATTCATCCAAGAAAAAAGTGTTTTAAAAATACTATTCAAACTGTCACTAAAAGCAAAACAACCACCTTCTCCCCGCCCTCTTCAACGTCCCCTCCAGGACTCAACTTCAACCCCAAACTTAAATCTGACAACCAGCACCCCCCACACACAGCCAAAGCTAGAAAGCTAGGGGAAACACCACAAACAATAAAATTTGAACTTACCAGCGTAGTACGATATTCTGGAAATATCTGAAACAGAAAAGTCAAGAAGAACGTTTTATGTGATAAATCTGGGAGTTAATTTCAGCTTCTTACACAGTGAGTAATTCACAACACAATTTTGCAGTTAAACTGAAAGCAGCAACAGCTTACATTCACACATTGGTAGAATTACTGCTCTAACGTCGCAGATTTGAATGTGATATATTTGAATCTGGATTATACAATAAATGGAGTATTTTTTTTTACAATTCATTGTCTAAGGCTATGTTCACAGAGCAGGTCTTAATGCTCTTTTTTGTTTCTCAGATGCCATTTTTTTCACATGGTCGTCATTCACAGTGTAATTTAAATGCGATCATCATCAAACTCAAGTGTGAACAGTCAGGAGACGCAGAAGAATGTGACGCGGCACGCTGTGTTTACAGAAGTAAATATGAATGCCACACCTATTATCAATGTGTGTATTGATTCTAATTCAATTAAATTATTATGTGATGTGACTGTTTCACCCAGTGTTTACATTTGATCTAGCCTCTTGCTGGCTACTCCAGCACAGCGTTGTATTTCTAGAACAGGAGCGATTACTGAAGGTGAAACATTTAAATTATCAATTCCATCACGTCAAGTGTTGGGATCATAAGTTGCTGTAGATTCTCAGTTATCCAGGACATGGCAAATTAAATGAACAAAGATGAAGCAACTGGACTTATGTAGCTGAAAATGTGCAGAGTTCCAAGAATTAAACTGAACATGGTTGGTACAGATATTCTCAATACATGGATCAATCCACATACCCCTACTTCACTAATGCAAAAGTTGGATTAAATATGGCATGACCATTCAGACTGGGGTCACTTTGAAAAACAATGGATATGTATCAGATTTAGTAAATGAAAAAGACTTGGATCAGATTAGAAAAAAATTGGATTTGTCTTGTTCAGTTTTGCATTAATTTTATTTTATTTTTTTAATGAATCGCACAGGGGCAAAAAAATTTGGATTTAGACTACTTTTACCTGCAGTATGAATGCATCTGCCTTGCATGAATTCAAGGGTTAAGATCAACTGTGCGTCCTTCTGTGTACCTTTAAAAGAATAAGTAGAATGGATCACCAAAATAGAAAAAGAGAAAAAAAATTGAAGAGCTAAAGAAGGAAATGAACATGTACTCAAAGACAGAGAGCAAAATGAGGATTTTTGATCATTTACAGTCCAACTGTGAGCTAAATTATTAGGCTACTTTATTAACAGTGAATTTCTTATCCCACTTAGCACATCCACTTGTTTAAATGTCAGCCAGCATTGCCCAATCAGGCTGTGCAGCTGCTCTAATGAATGAAGAGATTATTTGTGCTGCGTCTCAGATAGGTGGAGAGGTGAGAATTGGGCAGAATAAATCTGCTGTGTCGCGTTGCAATAACAGACGTACAAACTTAGCCTCAGTTGACCTCCTTTCACCATTCCTTTATATTCATCTTTTCACTTATATTCTCATTTTCAAAACAAACAGGACACCAAAATGAGCAGCATGATGAAATGTCCCACACTCTGAAGCTATGCTGACTTCCTGTTGCTAAGCAACAGCCACTAAGAAGAGCCACTCAGAAGGACAGTGGTACTATTAAGGATGCCAAGGCTTTGTCTTATAATACTGGTGGGACACAAAATGTGCCCCATTTGTCTAAGAAGAAGCACTTGACCAGTGTACACTTGGCAGTTTGTCCAAATAAGATTTTTTTTCTCTTAAATGTTTTGTAGAAAATGTGTGCACATTTTATCTTTCATTTACAAAGAAGTGATTGGGTAAGTTATAGTTTATTAATCACAGAAAGGAAGTAAAAACTGATGACGGCTGGAACATCTCAATAGCTGTTGTCATAAGAAAGATAATAACCTTGACATTTTAGTATTCAGGTAGTTAGCTGACCTTTTTTTGTGGGGGGTACATAAAATGACTGAACCAAGAGATGACCAACCGAAACAAATAAGATAGTAAATGTGTCTCCTCGTACGCTTGTACTTACACATTACTTTATAGTTGATTACACTGATGCACCCATCATTGTGAAACTAAGTAAATTTGGTCTCATCAGAGCAAATGAGCTTTTTAAACTGCTCAAGAGTCCAATCAATAAGGAGCAGGAGCAAAGTGAAGTATTTTTCCCTTCTATTAGCCTCAATAAAAAAAGCCAATTTCATAAAAGACACCCAGCTTCAATCCAAGATAGTTCTCTTTTCATTGTGTGTGATGACGTCCTAATACTTTGGTCACGTCCACATTACTCTGGATATTTTTTAAATGGCAGTTCTCTGCTGCATTTGTACATCCTGTCTACATGCAAAGATTTTATGAGAAACAAATGTTTTTTTAAAACACCTTCCGAATCAGAGGTTTTAAAAACTGGATCCTGTGAATAGTTGATTTTGAGTTTTTTGGAAACTCTGCATTTTGTGCCCTAAGAACTAAAACAAAAACAATATGGAGTTGTTTTTACTTTATATTTCAAGACCTGTCTTACTTTATTTTGAATGTTTCCATCAAACTTGGATCATGTGCCGAAATTAATATTGAATGGAAACTATAAACAGTGCAGGGAAAAAAAGAGTTTCAGAAAAAATCTTCATGTTCTTTGTATTTTGGTATGTCTAGTTGCTCAGCACGGGCATTTTAGCATTATTGTTAGAACACGTGGTTAAAGAAAAATGCATAAAAGGATAGAATATTTTTATAACTGTACAGAAGTGAAAACATAACGTTAAAAATTCTGGGTTCTACTATTGATGTATTTTTTTTATTTTTTTTTATTTTTTTTACATTTTACCAAAAGTTCAAGTGATTGATTTATTGATTTGTGTGTGTGTGACAGCATTTATTGCATGAACACTTTGGTTACCTTCTACCATTTTTGTTTTCAATTGAAATCTTTTTAATTCCAGTTTAATCCGTCTCTAGAATTGTGTTTCCTTGATGTAGAGAAATGAGGTTCCTAAAACAAAATAACATTTTTCTTATCCACAGAATTTTTGTACCTACTTCAAACATTTGTAGAATATCCACAGCTTATTGCCGGTAGAATCATATCAATGCAGTGTTTTCAATGAGGCCTCTCATCTTAAGCCTAACTAAATCCAGTTTGTGTGTGTGTGTTTTGATTAACTTTATCAAGGTGGTATAATTTGTTTGGTGAAAAACATCTTTTGAAAACTGCAAATACCTTTTTTTTTTCCCCCTTTATTTTTAAGTTCTTTAAGCAAAACGATAATTATCTAGCTTTCAGGATTGCTCAGTAAATGTTTTGTCGTGTCACAATTTCTTAAAATCACATAACCCAATTTGCTCCTGGCAGTATTTTGTCCAAAGCGTTTGTTTTTTTTAACAATTATCATCATCATCACTATAATTATTATTAGGAGAGGGTATTTTGAAAGAGGAATAGCACAATTGTGATAAGAAGGCCAGCGGTTACAGCTTGTATTCTGTTGTTTTCATTGTTATTAATGTGTTGCCTTTTGAGGCTTTATTGACCTTGAAAACAGCCCACATAGCCACTGTTAACTCAGTACAACTAAAAAGTACAACGCATGCATTTTTTCTTTGAGACATAAAACTTTTAGACCATTAAAATTACAACAATGTCCAAAATGCTCGAGTGGTACTGAAACATCTGTAACTACGACTGCCAAAGACATTTTCACATTCATGATCCCTCCACAGAGCCTCTCCCTCCTACTCAGTCACATCCCACGTCATGCTTTCAACCTTTTACTTTCTCTCTGCTACTCAAAAAAGTTTAAAAAAAAGAAAGAAAAATCTATTGCCGCTGGCTACCAAACAAAGAGGCTACGCAAGTTGACTAAAGACATTGCACAACTCGAATCTCATCCACAAAACAACAACAGCCCTCTGCAACTCTCTGAAACAATCAGCTCAACAAAGCAGTGTGCATTAAAATATGGAGGTAAAGCAACTTTAGTGAAAACAGCACAATGTTGCCACGACAGTATCTGCCACTACTGGAAATAGCAACTGGGTCATCATTCTGTGCCAAATCAACCTCCAAATAAATAATAACTTTATCCTGACCATCTCAGATTTTTATGAAACTTGGCAAATTTGTTCAGTGTAATCCCACAGCTCAGTGTCTCAAATCTTAGGTCAATCGGACAAATGGTTCCAGAAATACAGCTTCCCAAATCTTTACATTTTTGGTCAATAAATGTCCGCCTATATTCAACAACAATTATCTCAGGAACTACTGTTTACACCAACTTAGTGTCATTAGAAAATGGATTAGATAAGGATGCCAAATATGCCCATACTTTTGTGATTTGAGTATGTAAAAGGGTCCACTGACCTTTTGACCTTTGCAATAACCTTGAATTTGACTTTGTGGATCACAAGACCCTGAAATTAAATCTCCCATTTGTTATCTATAACATATAACATTTTCAAAGTGGTGATATTTTTTGTTGAGAAATTTTGATAAAAAAAAAAACATGCAAAAAACATCAAATGCATTATAAATGTACAACATAATTACATACCACCCAATGTCTTGTATTTATTTGGATTGAACTTATTTCAACTACAGTGTCTGTACATTAACCTGACATTTAAAAAAAAAAAAACATTCTCAGAGTGGCCTAATATCAATCCCTGCAATAAGTACCTGTATATACTGAACACAATTGGGCATAGAGCAGTGGTCTTCAGTTTAAATTCAGACCTCAAGAAATTTGTAACAAAAGTCCAGAAAGTTTATATTGACATTTTCTTTTAGTGACAGCCATGCTAGTTTTCTTCAGTCACCCTATTGTCTTTTCAGGCATATATTCTCCATGGGCTGGCAGCAGAGAGAAACCGCAGGTCAGACCAGGGAACTACCGTAAATGCTAGAAAAGCAGTGCCATGTAGCATGGGAATTTTTAAAAATAAAACTATAAACAGTATTTAAATTCTACTGAAATTTAAGAACAACTCCAGTTCCAGGTATGGACCCAGACTTTATTTGGATCAGGATCTGGAC